ACCATACCACACCATTCCGTAGGTGACACAAGATACCACACCCCCTATTACACCATACCACAGAGAGTGGCAATGCCCGAAAAATTGTGGCGTGTTGGAACCGTCTCGTGGAGAGCTTTCCGTTATCGTTACCGTACCATTTGATTTCTACATCCTCTTGGTCATGGAACAGCTGGTCTGGATCCGGGGGGTGTGGTATCTTGTACGGTATCAGGATCACCAAATCGCCGCAATTGCCGCGGCAGACACCACCTTGGTCGCCAGCGTTTTGTCCGTGACACAACGGGAAGGACCGCAATGCCGTATCGCTGTTGGTATGTAAGTATTCGGCACATGAGCGGACGTGGTCTGACACACATGCGGGTCGTGATGGTCAGGAGGAAAATTCGCTCCATGGCGTGTCGATACAGTCTCATCGTTGTGTGTGAGTCGTGTGACGTGTAGGCCATCTCACAAGGTCTTCTTGGCGCAGGTTCTGTGACCTCGGTTGTTCTTCGATCCTTGGTAAACGGCGTGGCTTTGCCTCTCTAAGTCTTCCGTTGGGTGTGTTTTGACAACGAGAAGACGATCCGTTGGGTGTGTTGACAACGATATCATGATTCGATGGGTGTGTTTTGACAACGATAACGCGAGCCGTTGGGTGTGTTGACAACGATAACACGATAACATGATCCGTTGTGTGTGTTTTTAACGATATAACACGATCGATCACATCAGGGCGGCCCTGATGAGCGTTTCGTCGGTGTTCGTCAAGACTCCCGTACACAACGGCCTGAGCACGATGCCCATCGAGTTTCGAGTGGTGCAGGAGCACCTACGGGCAGAGGCCAGAGACAAGCAGGTGAGCGATAGCTTTGCTTTTCTACATGCTGTAAGATGTCCCGTCGGAATTCTTTGCGCGCTGCTTTTTTTTTGGAAATACTTCTCAAGAATACATGCAACCACGGGAAGACTACACAGGAGGGACCCGCAGTTATGTATTTCGTGAAAAACCTGAGGCTCAAAATTTTCATGAACTACCAGTGTAAATAAAGTGGGTATAAAATACATAGCTCAGCGGTGGATCCTAGACTGTACTACAACCTGTGCTCGGCAGTGACGGTGAAGTACAGAAGCCGAGCTACGACCCTATTTTGACGTTTCTTCTCTCGGGGCCCGTTCGGCACGCTTTGAGATATAACCACCGTCGTCGACGCGGATGTGTTCAAGTCTTTACAGTCAGTGTCTCTTGGCTCAGATCGCAACGGAAGTGATTCCTCTCCCCGACCTATCTACCGTTGCTCCCCTACATAGTCGACCCTCCAATCAGCAGTAAAGTGTATTTTTGCTCATCGATTCCTCTCCCCGACGTATCTGCCCTTTTTCCCTGAACCCAACCGAACCTCACGACAGCTAAGCGGAGGGTCGCCTGGGGTTTTGATTCTCTCGGAGGCGGTGTCGTGCTCGCCGACGATGCGGGGAAGCCTTTCCGTCAACCCCTGGCAGGTGGAAGCCGTGGCGGACGCGATGGCAGACGCGGTCATGGCGGAGGCAGGCGAAAGGATTGCGCTGCACGAGGTATGTTGTTGCGTGGGCTTGCAGTACCTGGATGGTGGTTGGTGGACGTTACATGAAAGGATGCTGTAGGCTGAGTAATACTCTGTTCAATGCTCTTGTCTTAACTCAGCCATGGGTTGGGCTTTGGCGAAGAAATCGGCTGCAGGCTGCGTCCTGCTACTAAATCAAATAGATGGAGGAGGCTTGTGCCTGTGCTGGTGTGTTGTTCTAGAGGACAACCTGGTGCTTGGATCTTCCTACTTGTGGTACCTGTCAAAAGACGTTAGTCTTGTTAACTACGTTCTGTTGTCTCTGCCACACCGCAAGGCCGTGATGGAATCGTTTATTCCATTCCATGTATGCTTGCCGGGTTCGATTTGTTTTGTGGTCTCGTCTCGTTTGGTTTGGTTTCGTTTCCTGACGTGTCTTCTCCTGTCGTTCCGTTCCGTTCCGTTCCGTTCCGTTCCGTTTGGTTTCGTTTGGTTTCGTTTCGTTTCGNTGGGTTTGGTTTCGTTTCGCCTCGTTTCAGGAGGACATGGAGTGGTGCGAGACCAACACCACGGCCCAGTGGGCGGAAGACGTACTCGGCGTCCTTACCACGGTAAGCAAGCAACAATAACCACGAGAAACTCACTACCGTATGTTGCATAAGATAGCACACCCCCTGGACCGATTTCCAGAGCTCGATTACTCCACAAGAAAAGCGATGGCGGTGCCGAAAGTTGCAGCGTTGGAACCATCTCGTCAAGAGGTTTCCGAAAACGTATCCTTTGATATCGGCATCCTCTTCGTCGTGGAGAAGCCGAGCTTTGAAAAATCGGTCCAGGCGGTGTGGTACCTTGTGTCATGTCACCTACGGTAACCATTAAGGTTTCTTTACCCCTGCCCGATACGGGATTATTGCTATGGTAAGCATTGCTGTACCCGCTGCAAAGTACTAATCAAGCACTGCTCTACCCCTCCCCGATACAGGGTGACACCAGTAATCGATACACACCCAAGCCGGGCAGCAGTGAATCAATACGTGATTACCATATGTAGAAGTATGTGTTAGTCGTTCCACACCAGCGGCATGTGCACGGCCGTCCTTCTCGGTGTGCTATATGCTGCTGTGCGGTGTTGTAGAGATGGCGAGTGAGGGCGAGCAGTCCTCATCGGAATGTGTCCGACCTGGACTTCGGAGAACCCACACGCCGGCAAGCGGTAACTGCCTTTTTTACGCCAATACAGACGTCACTGACGAGCCACGAACAAGATGGGCTTACTTTTGCTGCTCGGCGTGACGTCTCGCCGAGCAGCAAAAGTAGGCCCGTGTTGTTCGTGGTTCGGCATTGACGTCTGGATGGCGTAGAAGCTGCAGCGTCCCCTCGCCGGCGTGTGGATTCTCCGAAGCCCAGGTCGGACACATTTCAATGAGGACTGCTATATCCCTCACTCGCCATCTCTACAACACCGCACAGCAGCACATAGCACACAGAGAAGGTTGAAATGCCGCTGTTGGGTGTGGTGTGGAACGACTAACGCCCCCCCCAAAGCACAGTAGAAAGGATATTATACTTCCGGACGCTCGTGAAAAAGGACGGTTTGGGATCTAGGCGCTGCTTTGTGGCGAAACATGTGACGGGTGATGAAGATAGATTGCCAAGCCTTCTTTCACTAGTACGGGAAAGGATTCTAGTTGTTTTTTTTGCAAGACGTTCCAGTTCTTCCCTTGTGATTGTAAACATCGGTCCTGTTTCGGTGGTAGGTGTGCCTGGAGTTCCAGCACATGCGCGCACCCCTGGTTCGTTTTAAGATTTGCAGCTACTCATGATTCGGTTGGATGGCGAATGGTGTTGATTTGCTCAACAGTACAGTACAGCACAGCAGTCGTGTGTTGCGGTCCTGGTATCGCTGTACTGTAACAAACCCCTCGCGGTACGTGTGAAGGTGTTGAGTGGTGTAGGGCAGGCACGCTCCTGCCAAAGCTGGTGAGCTAAGCTGGTGAGCTATGTCTCGCGCGTAACAGCAGTTGGTGTTTGGTTGCGCGTAAATAGAAGGGGAGGACGAAAAATAACCACGTGGGTTCGAATAGACGCCCAAAATATTGAAATTGTAACACAACACAGCTCACAATTTTTGCAGCGTTCTTGGGGATAATTGGACTAAATTTCCCTTGCTGACTTACGATTGTATGGCTAATTGATTTGTTTTGTTGTTTTGTTGCCGGCCCACGTGTTTTTTTTTTCTCCTGACGTTGTTCTTGTTTCTGACTCTTTTGTTGTTTTGTTGCCGATCCACGTTTTTTTTTCTTCGTACGTTGTTCTTGTTTCTGACTCTTTTCGTTTTGTTTGCCGATCCACGTTTTTTTTCTTCTTCTTCTTGCCGTTGTTCTTGGTTCTGACTCTTCTGCCCAGGTGCCGAAGGAAAATCGCAACCGCTACGCCACGACCGGCCTGGGGCTGACGAGCAGAGTGGTGGGCACTGATCCCACCTTCAAGAGGCTCGACACCAACTGTGCTCGCAGGGCCTACGGGTGAGTCAGCGCCTAGCCTAGGCTGCTCTAAGCGCTGCCCGCAGCCCTGTCCTGACTCCTGGTCCGAGTATGACGAACCGTTGTGTCGAGACGAAACAGAAAATACTGGAGAAGAGAATGGTTTCGAGCGTAGGCTTGAGACGATCAAGGAGGTTCACACTGCATCACTCTGCTGTGGGTGACTGTTCAGGTGGCTCCCGACTATGCTGACCGCTGTTGTTGTCGCCCTTGTTGAGTTCTGTTGACATCATCACGTAGCACAGCAACAGCAGCAGCACGATCCGTGGTGTTTGGTTGGAGCACACAACCAACGCGGTGTTGGTTCTCTGAAGGCCGTCGTGGCCTCGCTTTGTTCTTTTTTGTCAATCGGGCCTGACTACAGAGGTGCCTCGAACACAAAATCTAACATTTGATCGATCGTGTTCGATTGTAGATTCATTCCTCTCGAGAATAGCAGAACATTGTTCGGTGCCTTGTGAAATACCCATCATCAGGGTTGTAGATACTTCGCCTCGTGTCGTACGGCTTCCCAGTGCCGTTTCCCTCCTCGATGTTGTTGCTTTTGTGTCGTCGTTGCTTTTGTGTCGTCGTTGGGTTTGCCGTTGGTGTTGGTGTTGCCCTGTTGAAAATGTCTGTCGTTGTCGTTGTCGTTGTTGCTGTTGCTGTGTTGAAATATTACGAGCGCATCGCTGGTCAACACAAGCTCCGGTGTGAGACCGCCAAGAACCACACCAAGAAGCAGAGAGCCTGTTGCTCTCTGCTGTCGATTTTGGAAGAGCGAATGGTGGCGAAACTGCTAATGGCGATAAACTGCCACCTTACCGTTTGCTTGTATCCGTGTTCTGCATTGTAGTTGCTGATGCTGCTGCTCTTGCGATCGCCGTGAACTTTCTGCTCGCTGCACGTTCGTTTCCCCCATGTATGGTCCTGCCGTGATTTCCCTCTTTTCTCACCTTCATGTTCTCACGCGTACTTTGTGCTTATGGTGTGATTCTTTCGTGCCCCCCCCTTTTCTCACGCAGCGCTAGCAAGCAGCGGGTGTTCTTGCTAGACTACGGAGGAACCCTCGTCAAAGAATCTCCAATCGCACAACCGAAGGCGATGGATGCAAAGGCAGACTTCGACAGGAGAAAGTCTAAGGTCAGTCAGTGCACCGCACCCCCGCTACCCTAGAGAGCGTTGTAGTGCCATACACTCGTTAACATTTAGATCGATAAGTCATCTGTATTCCTCTAGTTAGGTGGCCAATCGCTCCGTGCTTTCAGTGTTAGCCTTTCAGAATCCCCGTGGTGAATGGGTGGAATCAAACCGTGATGCCATCGCTTAAAATCAGCACTCACAAGCGTTTCTGCCGGGTGGGGGCTTCGTGGTATCACAGAAGGGTTGCTCCCCTACCCACCCCTCCTGCAGCGCTTGCCCTCTCGATTGTTTTCCGCGAGAAAGAAACAAGACAGTATACCGCCTTTTTTGTTCGTCCCGTGTTTTTTGTTGTGCGGTTTTACCGCGTGTACCGTACCGCCGCGATGATCCGACAGGCAGCCGGGTTGCGTCCCGGCCGGGCGGTCCAGGAGGGGCTTGCTGAACTGTGCCGGGATCCGTGCAACATCGTGTTCGTCGTTAGTGGGCGCGGAAAGGATGAGCTGCAGGCGGCTTTCGGCCACATCAAGGTAACATGCGACGCGAACGCTGCTCACACGCAGTTCAATGGGTGTTTGCTGAGACTCGAGGCGCACACTTGTGGGAGCTTAGCAAGGGATTGCTGGTGTGGAGTCTGTTAGGCGAACGGATGTTGTGACTTACTTCATCTGTTAGCGAAAGGCATGCCTCTGCTTTCATGTGTCTGTCGGCGAAAGACGGGAGGTGTGCCTCGGCTGGGGAAGAGCTGGGTCTTTGCTCGGGGAAATGCCACGTAGCTAGAGCTTGTTTTTAAGGAAGACTTGTCGGAAAAATAGCGTGGTGGTTAGAGGATTAGTACATGGTTTGAACCATCATTGTACCAAAGCGTTGGAGCTCACCGCCACTCCCCTGCTTTCCGTCACTCGCGTGATTGATTCTCCCTTTCCCTTGGCCTGAACGTGACGTTCCTTCCTTGTGTGGCTCGATTTGACTCGCCTCACTTGAATTGCGTGACCCCACAACGTGACGTGATGACATGACATGGCATGAAATGACAGGGACTAGGACTGGCCGCGGAGCACGGGTCATTCTACCGCTGGCCTTCGAACGACAGGTATGCTTTTCTTAGTCAAGATTACCGCATGTTTTCAGGATATATATCCCGCATCTGTTTGCACCACCTCGTCAGTTTTCAATAGATTTAGCACGAAAGCCATCGGCACTAATGAGGTGTTCAACAAGAATCACACGGTGGAAAAAGGTGGCGCAAGGGTTTGATCACTTTCTTGTCGAAGTCTACAATACAAGAGAGCTTCGATATCCTGGCTGATTGATTGTTCCGTGCGACCCATGGTATCGAATCCCATTTGACAGGGAGTCTGGTGGTGTCGGCGTCGGTGGGGACGGATGGGAGGCTCTGCATCCGGGCCTGATGGACACGGCGTGGAAGTCGGTGGCGAGGCGTTTCATGCAAAACTTCCAGGTTAGGGTCAGCGTTAGGGTTATTTGGGCCATTTTATACACACCGATCTTGCTTCAAAAATTTCCAAAATTCCAAATCGACGAAGCAACATATTCACTTCATCGCACTTGATTTGGCTTGAAGCATGTTGGCAACGGAGTAAGGATTTCTTGAACCAATCGAAAAAACGAAAAAGCACGATTTCATTCATCCTTGCCATCTTACCCCTGTCACCGTCTCATCCCATCCATGCCGAAGTCGTCGTCAGAACAATTAATTTCCTTTCCTTTGGTAGTTCTTCTGCACCCCCTTCGCTGGCTCAATTCCATCCAACCCGAAGCCATCCATCTTCACGGAGGGCGACGCCACATCATTCATCCTTCGGTAGTACTTTTTCATCCCCTTCGCTGGCTCAATTCCGTCCAAACCGAAGACATTTTCACGGAGGGCGAAGCCACATCGCCGGTTCGGAGGTTCTATATTTGGACCAATCAGAAGGACACGTTTGTCGTCGTGTCGGCCAATCAGGTCCACACCCACGGGTCGTACATCGAGGAGAAGGGCACCGCGATGCTGTGGCATTACGGGGACGCAGAACCGGAATTCGGAGCCATGCAGGCAAGAACGTTTGTTTTGTTTTTTGTCCAGGTGTTGGCCTACAGCAGTCGGAATGAACAACACTGTTGACGAGACCCAGGGACAGCTACCGCGCTGATTGGCCAGCACAAAAGTTAACAGAAATGTTGTTACGCTCGTTTTGAAGGCGACGTTTGTACTGACTCAGCAGCGTTTTGCCTTGTGAGTTGGATCTTGTTACTCGTCTGTTTTGATTGACGTTCACACATGCTGGTTGACAAGCGAGCTCTCCGCTGGCGACATGGCTGTTGTAACATTTGAGAAAAGTTGAGGTACTCGCTGCTTAGCGTCCCCCGTCGTCAGGCGTTTTCGGAAAGAGAAAACCTGTACCGTGTGAACCTGTTAACCGATTTTTTGGACTTGGTATGTTGTTGTATTGGTTGATCAAGAGAGGTTAGTTCTGAAGGAGGAAAGTAGCAGGTCCTGTACCCTGTTAACCTGTTGACCGATTTTATGGACTTGGTATGTTCGTGTATTGGTTGATCAAGAGAGGTAAGTTCGGAAGGAGAAAAGCAGCAGGTCCTGTGTCCTGTGAACCTGTTAACCGATTTTTTGGACTTGGTATGTTCGTGTATTGGTTGATCAAGAGAGGTAAGTTCGGAAGGAGAAAAGCAGCAGATCCTGTACCCTGTTCACCGATGCCTGGACTTGATAATATTTGTCCTTGTAGTGATTGACGCAAAGAGAGATAGGCCGGCATTGCTGTTGCCCAAACTGGTGGTAGTTGTCTGTGTCAGGCAGCAGTAGCTGGCCTTGCCAAGATCAACAAATCGCGTGTTGCTAATTGCCGGAAAGGTTGAGATTAGGAGCCGTCAAGCGATGACGTGAAGTCTTGTTCGTGTCGCTGCAGCATGGACCAATCAATCTGTCGAAGGCTAGAAGCATGATCATACAACGCTCAGGCGCATTCCGCCGGTAATGTTCCCGGGTTTTGTTTTTTTGGTGGGGGTGGGGGTGTTGATGAACCACCCCCGGCTACGCTCTGTTTTTCCCCCCACTACTACTCTACGCCCCACCCTACCAATTTTTTTTGGTGGGGGAGGGGGTGGCGATGAACCATCCCTGGCTAAGCCTTGACACTCGTACCAAACACAGTGTATGCCCCCGTTGTTTTTCCCGCGTGTGTCGATTCAATCGACAGGCCAAGAAGCTGCAAGACGAGCTGACGGACGTCCTCCGTTTCTCTGGCGCGACGAACACCCCCGTCGAAGGCGTCCTTTTCGCGGGAACCACCCCCGCCGGGACAACAACCGGAGTTGTTGGAGGCGGCGGCGGCGGCGGCGGCGGCGGGGGAATCGAAAACATTAACATCTGCAAGAACAGCGGCAGCAGCAAAGCCGCCAGCATGAGCAAGATGATGATGGGCTTGAACGTGAACGTCAGCACTACCGCCGTGACGGGATCGACGCGGTCTAATTCTGTGGCTTCGTTTGCCTCGGAGGGGTTTGGTGCTATCGAGATCACCCACGAGGACGGGCTGAACTCGGACACTGGCAGCGGCGGCGCTTACCTTGAGGTATGCATTCAAGATGTATCATCCGACAGACTGCGCAAACACTGCGCTGTTAAGATTTTGAGATGGTTGGGACCGCCTACGCAGGATTTTAAGAGTATCTAGAGAACGAATAGGGAGGGGGCACGCAGACCCTATCCCTAACCCGAACCCTATCCCTAACCCTAAAGCACGGATTCAATACTTTATCCCATATGTTTGCTTAATCAATTTTGCTGCGTAGACTGCTGCATGGTTGTTGTTGTTGTTGTCGTTGTTTTTGTTGTTGTTGTAATCTTGACCGTCAAGACCGTTCCGGTCTCCGCTCAGTACCTTCTAATGTCAGCACTATACTATACTATACTACTGTACTAAACTACAATACTATACTATACTATAGTATAACAGTACAACTGACGCGGACGCCTTCCGTGGTCACAAGCCAACTACAGTACCCCAAAAAGACGGTAGTGTGCAAAATTAGACATTTTTTGTGTCTTACTATTTACGAAGTAGAAGTCAACGAAGCCATCGGAGTTGTTTTCGGTGTGGTTCGCTAGGCACTTCGGTGTGTGTTTGAAGCACGAGCCGGGGGGTGCCACACAGTCTCCGCCTCTGCTCCTGATACGTTTGCCTTCGGTCTTTTACGGTATCACCAGAAGGGTTTCAGCATTTCCTCCCCTCTTATTGGATACCCACAACCCGTTTGTATATCGTTTTGCAGCAAGAAAAGATCGTCAACGCGACTTCGATTATTTCAGCAGTACAGAAGACAAACTCCGCAAATTGGCGCTCGGTGTTTTTCGAAGCGGCTTCTGCAGCAAGGAAAAAAGGGAAAAAACGAATTGAAGAAAAACAAAAAGTGGAGGTGGAGAGCATCGATCTCCCTACCTGTTCAATGCTAATGAACCGCTCTACCATTTGAGCTACACCCCCTTCTTGTTGTGAACGAGACTCGTGTGTTTTTATTATCATTGCCGCATCCAGTCGAAAGATTGGCGAGGAAAAAGAACCGAACCAACTGAACAAATGTACAAATGTGTTGGTGGCAGGATGCGGTGTATGTTCGGGTGGCACGAGTTTGTGTTTTGTCGCAGCAGCAAGTGCCTACGGGCCCCGCTCACTATGTAATTCTTGGCTTCTTGGGCAGAGATGTGCCCTTTTTGCCTCTTTTTCGAGTCTTGCTATGCATACAATGAGTCTTGGTTGTTGTCGTCGTCCCTCTACCCATGTTTTTCAATTTCAATTGTCGGTGGTCTATGCCAAAACCAAGTGAAGAGTATATTTTTTACCTGTCATTCGTACTTTTAATATGTTTTTTAACGTTGGTTTTGGGAAACATTTGTGTGTTTCCCCTCTCATATTTTGGCATAGCGAAAGTGAGTTTGACAGCAGTCACGCAACTTTCTTCTTGTCTTTCTCACCGCTGTCAGTTTCCGATGATCGCGATTCGACACTTAGCCTGGCACAACCCAACGTGATGCGATGAAACTGCTGTAGGTGCGTGCGAGGGGAGCGAACAAAGGCAACTTCGTGCACATGGTGCTGGACCGCCTGGGGTGGCCGTCCGAGGTTTCGAGCTTCCCCGCTCCGGCTGACGCCACGGACACAGACGCAGCCGTGTCGACTGCCTCGTCTGCCGGAGGAAGGTTCTGCCTCTGCGTGGGAGACGATGTCAGCGACGAGGAAATGTTCATCGCCGTCAAGGTGCGAAGAATTTGACCCTCCTGGACATGCGTAATCCCCATATTGACCCAGCAACATGAGTTATGAGTTCTTATTTTCGAAGATTTTGAGGATGCGTGCCCCCCCCCCCCCCCCCCCCCCCCGGGGCGGGTTTCCCCCCCAGGCCAAAAAAAAAACCCAAAAGGGGCCCTTTTGCCCCCAACAAAAAAACCCCTGGTGGAAAATTTCGCCCCCTTTTTTATGTCCCCCCCCTTTTCTCAAAGGGAGGCCCTTTATTTTTTAAGCAGGGGGGGCCCCTCACCAAAAAATGGAAAAGTTTTTTTTTGGGGGGGGGAAAA